TATATATATATATATATATATATATATATATATATATATATATATATATATATATATATATACATATATATTTATATATAAATGTATTATATATATATATATATATATATATATATATATATATATATATATATATATATATATATATATATATATATATATATATATATAAATATATATATATATAATATATATATATATATATATATATATATATATATATATATATATATATATATATATATATATATATACATACATATATATACATATATATACATATATATACATATATATATATATATATATATATATATATATATATATATATATATATATATATATATATATATATATATATATATATATAAAATTTATATATATATGCACATGCACATGCAGACACACATTTGCATGCATGAGCACATGCACACTCACAAGCACACATGTATGGAGACCTCAGTTTGCCAGACCTCCATTTAATGGATATTTTGAGCAGTGGTCTGAATTGTGGCAACTTTGGTGTAACTATATGTACAACCTTGGAAAGGGGAGAATTTATCAATAGCACAGTAGCTTGACTTACGCAGATAATCAGAAAATGGTATGTGCAGTGGATGTTTGAGGGATATGGCATAAAAGAAGGTAATCTCAGATATGCCGGTATTTTATTCTGTCAGATTGGAAGATGTGCTTAATTAAAAGCACAGTATCATATTATTGCTCTTTTTTTTTGGTAACTATGGTCAGTCAGCAGTATGCAACCAATACCCCCCTTTTGTCCATTAAAATGAGGTCTGTGTGTATATCAACACATATATAAATGTCTGTATATTTTTATATTTCTGGTTCACAAGTATTTAATCATAAAAGTATCAATTACTAGACCTATCTGTCTTCACCTGTTTAAAACTTTTCCTGAATTTGAAAAACATGTAATTATGTAATTACTATTATATTTATTATTATAATTATTATTGTTATTATCATTATCATTATTGTTATTATCATTATTGTTATTATCATTATTATTATAATAATAATAATGATAATTATTATTATTATTATTTTTATTATTATTATTATTATTATTATTATTATTATTGTTATTATTATTATTGTTATTATTATTATTATTATTTTTATTTATTTTATTATTATTATTATTTTTATTTATTTTATTATTATTATTATTGTTATTGTTATTATTATTATTATTATTATTATTATTATTATTATTGTTATTGTTATTATTATTATTATTATTATTATTATTATTATTATTATTATTATTATTATTACTGATATTAACATTGCTATTAGTATTAAAAGTAGATATATCTTTTGTGTGAAAATTCAATAACTATAGTAAACAGGTGATATCAAGTAGGCTATCACTGTGAAAACAAAACTAAAATGACAAATATACATTCTCTCCTGGCTCAGTGGGTTGAAAGTTTCTTATTTTTGTACATAATGAAATTTAAGCTTCTTTCATAATTGACCTCTGAAGAAGAAAAAAAGGAGAAGAAAAGATTAAAAGAAGGAAAGAAAAGAAAAGAAAAGAAAAAAAAATATGCTTTATTTTTATGTTCGTAGGTTATTGAAGGATATAGATTATGAATGACATAATGATGTCGTCTTTGCACTGTTCTCTATACCTTTTGTTTCATGCTGTTTCAGGCAAGTGAGCATCAATCTGGGCTAGAAGGCCGTGTACAAGAGGCACAAGCTTGGGAACGAGAATATGTCAGTGTTCTAGATTATCTTGTCCAGTCAGACATGGTCCTTACCCAAGCAATTACTGATTCTCAACTACGAATTGACCCAGTGCAGGTTTGTATAGGTTTGGTTATTTTGTGGTGTGTAATTTATCTTTAGTGTATTAATTTGATTATTTAAGTATGATTTGGGGAAAGGGTGTTGTCTAAAACTCATACCAATTATATACTCATATTGAGTGCATAATATTGTGGATTTTTTTCCATATTTTCACTTCATTTCCCTTGCTGTGCTTTATGGGATTGTAGATTTACTTCAAAAACAGTAAGGTAAGTCAGATACCATGAGTAATAGATTATGGTAACCAGAGTGTTCTAGGATCTAGAAGTTATATATGGGGATATATGATGTACTGTAGCAGATTAGATTTGTTAAGATATGAAATGTAAACTAGTGTCTTTCTTTGTTTATGATATATTCAGTAAAAATTACTGCATTGTGTAAGGAGCAAACAGGTATTTTCATATTACTCTCAGAAATTTTGGTACATCACAAAAATGTGATAGAACTGTCTCTTACATACAGAATTTGTTTTTTAGAATTTTTTTTCCTTCTTAGGTTCAGGCAGAACTTGTAAAGCAACAAGAGGTACTAAAGAAAATGCAAACACAAGTAGATGTGTATCGTACACAAGGTAAAACAGAAGCTGCACTTCGTCTAGAAGATCAGGTCACACACCTCCTGGTAAGATTTTATTGTTAATCATAGTATTTCAGGA